GTGTTGATAAAAAGATGTACGACAGATTTTTATCAGTTGGTTTTCCTTATTAAATTTTTCATAAAGATCGTCTACAGTATAATTTATGTATCTTATACGTTTCGATACTTTATTTTTGGTGATAGTGTCTTTAATTCCTGGAGCTAATGACGAATTTTCGTCTTTCTCAAAAAATGCATGTATTATACTGATCTTCTTTAATGATTTGGATTTAGTCTTAGTTCTAGATATACTTGTAACAATGGTATTTGCAGTAGCATATTTTATTTTAATATATTTCGAAACCAATATTGGTTGTTTTTTAAATATTTTTACTTTTCAATTATTTTGTTTGCACAGCATTGTTTGATGATAGACTTTTCTCTTTTGGTTTGTAAGGATTCCATTATATCTCTCATTTATTTTTTATAGAATTCACCCCATATTAAATGTTTTGTTACTTCTTTCGCCCCAGAATTTTTTATTTCTTCGACACGACTAAGAATGGAATCATCGGCTTTTTTATTGTTTAACAACCTATAGTTTTTTTTTTTCATTTATTGATTGCTTTATCTTTTTCTTCTAACTAAATAACTAACTTTTTGTTTAATCGATTTCTTTTTACTTCTCTTATCTTCATATACCGGATCGTCGTTTTTAATCTCTCAACTACTGACTTACGTTTTTTTGAAGTACTGGGATTTGATAGTATTTTAGGAGCATCAGTCGGTAAATCGATTTCATCTGTTAAATTCAATGAGTTAATTTGAGATGTAGATACAATTTGTTGTTCAGTTCTTGCACTGCTAAATGTAGATGTATGCAGATCATTCTGAGGCAAAAGGCTCTCGACTTCCATGCCAACCAAATCAACTTCTTTTGCACGATATTGCCTGAGAATTCAAGACAAGATATTTTAAATCACGGATAAACATTTAATACTAAAAGTTTAAAAGCCAATACAAGTTTTCATTATTATCTGTACTGCGTAATATACTTTAAATATTTTATCCGCTGTTATTTTGATATGTCCACGGAAAGATAATATGAAAACCATTTAATGTAATTGTAATTCAGTTATTGGACAATATTACTTACACATTTTTTTTTGTAAACCTTGGCGCTGACGTGACCGCTGGCGGTTTTTGTTTACACAGCGACGAACGTGTGCGTGAAGCTGTCGGATTGTCAGTTTGTTCGTTGCTTGTATCCTGAACCACGTTTCTTGAAATAAACTTTTTATTAACACTGGTTCTTTGCAACAATATATATTATTACGTATAAGTTCAACTTACGAATTGCCATTGCTACTATCAGGCGATATACTTTTATTTGTTTTACGTGTTGTATTGTAATTTCTCACACGTAACAATTCCTGTTGTCGTTTTTCAGCAGCTTATGCCCGCTTTTCTCTGATTTTCTCACATTTTGATTGGGCCATAGATATTCTATTATCAATTACCATAATAATTGAAGAATAGTACTTGACATTCCATACCATTTCTTATAAGATGCTATCACAAAATGGCTATTGAAATCGAACAATATCTTGAAATAATATAAATCACTTCAAAAAAAAACTTCAAAATTATACAAATCGAGCTAAACAATCTTTCAAATTATAAACTAACGCTAAATAATCCTGGAATAGTTGCTTTAATCGAGGCATGACACACACGACAACGCTGACACCAGCACACTGAATAACTTTTCGCTTTCTCTACGAAGATCATGACTTTGTTATTGGATCGCTGTTTGTTTTGATTGTTCTTTGCTACCTATAGCATCAAAACTATTTGGAGTAACTGCACCGGTAGTATTAGTAACTACAGCGGTAGGCCCGACTAACAGTGTAACTATTCATTTTCTCACACCAAAAAGAAAAAAAAATATTTCCGAAAACTTTATGTATATTTTCAATGTATTTTTCGATTCAGAATACTATGCTTCTATTGATTTAAATATAAAACGCATTCAAAAAGCTTTAATACGCTATAAACAAAGTTTAACAGTAACAAGTGAAGGAGACACGATATTGTATTTTTCAAGTCGTAAATCCAGAAAAAAAAAGAATAGCTATTGAACATTTTTTTACAGTGATTTGCACATCTTAAGTCAGCAGGCAAACAAGTTATTAACATGGTTTAGTCAAGTCTATCCATGTACCGTTGGAAAATGATAAATTTAATTTTCAGGAAACAAGTTCTATAGGAAATTTAAGGACTTGCAACTTTTTCATTTGTTAAGGCACACTCACTAGCGACCAAAAGAATCATTTATTTGGAGGGGAGGAATACTTCTAAAAAATAAAAATTAGTATCACGGCAATGTTCAATTTTTTATACACAAAAAAGTAAAAAAAATTGAAATTTCAAAAAAAAAGGTACAACGATATTATAGGCTGCTATTCTTAATATTTTGATGGCACATACTTACCACTCCACTCAAAAGATGTGTTTGTATGTCTTCTTTGACCATCTCAAACCGCAAAATCATATTCCAAATGTTCAAAAAGTTATGAAACAATTGAAAATTCAAATTTTTTCGAGTGACACGCTAAATTTGCAAATTTTCATTATTTTTCGATGTAGATCCTCGTAAAACTGATTATTTTGTGTTCAACTTTAATTTTTTATTTACTAGAAATGTTGCTGAAACAATACTCTTTCAAATACTCCCAGTAATTTTACTTGAAAAAATTTTTTTCTCGTCAACAAACGCGAGTGACAAGAAAGTTAACTTTATGAATTTGCCCATATGTCGAGCTCGTGAACTTGTATCGGATGAAGCAATGCTTGCACTTGCTCCATCTATTTTAAGTCTTCGTTTGCGTTGTTTATTGCCATCATGTCTGTTCTTGTTTCTACGATCTTTGTCATTCTACTTATTGAGATCTTACTTTGTCAAGCTTCACTGCAAGCTCGATAATTTCTTGCAAGATCTTACTCTTATGTCCTCGTGACAATGGCATATTCAGGGAGAATGTTGTATGTATATGCGCTCTTTTTCATCGTCGATAATTACTTCATTCATTTCATCCTAAATTAATAATAGCCCGTCGATATACTTGCCTATAAATTAGTTTATTTTATATTTTTTAACTCTTTCCTTGTGACTTTTCTTTTCCGTTTATATTGATGTATTGCTTTATCATATATTACTGTGCCACGTGGGCCATTTCCTTTTATTAAATTAAGATTACGCTGTTGTGCCTTTGTCCAGAAAAATATTAACGCCTCGAGCTACGTTTTCGTCCTTTAAACCTGTCGATTTCTACATTTGTTTAATTTTTCAGAAAAACGCCCGTATGTCTTCTGATCGGCTGCCATAAGATTTAAAGTTCTAATTAGGCTTGATTTTAGACAAATATTTGTATATGTACTTGGAAAAGAACAGCGCGATACTCGGAAGCGGGTTATTGTGTTAACTGTGGATGTTGACTATGCCAACATCAAAATTGCTTGCGATATAAATAAACTCGCTAACTACGAGTATCCTTATAAAACGTATTGGTCATTTGGCTGGTTCGGCAGTAAGTCGTACAGTCTGTATGTTTTTATTTTTTTATTTATTCAATAATTTATACATAATACACATAAAAAAGTGGATTACCGACTCACTCACTCACTATCGGTTGTAACGAGAGAAAATTTGTAACGAGAAAACAATCAAAGGATTGCACAGTACGTTTCGCTGCGTCTTTTTTGTTGTCACTGGGGAAAAATCGTTAAAACTATGCTTATAAGAAAACTATATACGAACGTTCAATTCGGTATCAAAACTTTTTGGCAGCAATTCTCACGAGCATGACGGAAGTGCCGGGGTGTCACAGGCTACCACTTACACTTTCACGCTCATGTAAATTAACTCATGCGCATCCATTCACACACGCGCCCTCCTATTTGATTTTGTTACAGTAGAACAAATACATTAGGTTATTACACTAACATTGTTTATCTTGAAAATATAACAAAAAATGAAAAACACAGGTAGAAAAATTTAATTGAGCAAACAATAAATATACTCTAGCTAAACTGAGCGTCGAAGTATCGAACTGAGCAACACGTACCACCCATTATTGGCGTCAGCTCACATCGACTAAGGCTTGCAACAATCGATATGCTAATTGGCTAGTTGGCTAAATGATAGTCACGTGATCAGCTGTTCTGAAATAGTATGTATAAATTGTGTTCCCTGAGAAATATTGCTAAAGATTATCGTAGATAATTAAATGTACAAAACAGTATATCAATGTAGTTAAAATGAATTAAAAATGAATTAATTGATTCAATCTAACCTCAAAATAAAAACCAACTTCCTCGATAAGAAATTAGTTATATACGAAAGTTCGAATACACAATGTGGGCAATGAAAGTTATAAATCGATAAATTATTGGGATAAAATATTATACAGTAATTTAGACTTTATCAAGATATATAAAATAATAGCAATTTTTTATGAAAATACACTAATTACCGTGAACGTCTTGCGTATGTATGTTATTTACGTCGTGAAGGATATAAAGAAAACTAAATTTTTAGTAATTATATTTTTAATTATGATTTTTCAGCAAACTACATGATAAAAACTTAAAACTTCATTTATAACCTTCTTAAGTCACAAGTATCAACGTAACTGCATATTTATTTATCAATAAATAATATTAATGGCTAGATCTCAAATCATATAAAGGGAATATTTAATGTATATTAAATTTTCTAATTTTCAGTTTTTCCGATAACAATTTTTATTACCATTTGTAATTACAATGAATGCAAAAAAAGAAGAAATCGATAAGTGCGTGAAGCGTGATAGACATCCAATAGTATTATTACATTACTGAATACTTTACATATATGAATATTTAATATTCTTTTAATAACACAAAATAGTAATTTCAATATTATTTTAGCAATGAATAAGCTAAAATTCAGAAAATTGAAAAGAATTTATTAAAAATATTTTCTCTTAATTATAGAAATGTTCGATAACAATAGTTAATATACATTTCTTATAATAGGTGAACCTGGAGAATTGCTTCATCACTTATAATTATACAACTCAAGATGACTTGGTCCAACATTAATTTTGTACGAGGAGAGCGACTATTGTAAAAGAAGGTAAATTAATTTACAACTTTTTATTTAAATATTATATTTGAACTTCATGTTATTTTTGACAAATTACTTTCACTTTATTGATTCTTTAACAATATATGTTTTACTAGTTTAGTTTTATTTTAGAAATTTTGTATTTCTATAACAGGTGAACCTGCACAATTGCTTCATCAGTTACAAATATAGAACTCAGCATAACTTGGTTCTACATTAATTTTGAACTAACTGGAAATATCACGCTCGCTGACGTTTGCTCGATTATATTTTCAATTAGTTATTTTTTAAATTTATTGTATGAATTTACTTGTAAATAAAATTGACTAAATATCAGAAAAATAATGCCTGTATTAGATTTTTTCTCTTACGTGAAAAGGTTTTCTATAATAATGTCAGCCAAATATCTTACATAATATTTTAATTATATATATTATATCTACTGTAAAATCTTAGTCATTAATCTGTAAACTACTATAAAATATAACGTGAAAATGTGAAAAGGTAAAGAAACATCTTAAGGACTTTTAATTGATTTTGGTACGCAACATCTTGAAATAACTTAAAAAAGACATTAAAAAATTCATAATTATAAGAGGACGTATATTTTATGATTTTTTTTTAACTTTGCACTTTTTTAATGTATATGAAATTTAGTTTTATGTATACTCACTCGATAAATATAGTATTGATTTGTTGTATTGATGTACAAATATTTAATATTCATATAAATTTATTATTTAAACAAGATTGATAGATTATCACATTCACCACACATACAACAATGTATTTCTCTTATAACTATTATTTTCATAGTCACCATAATAGTTTTCCAAAAGAAAAAAATAAGCATTATTTCATTAAACAAATTTTTTTTTAACTGAAATCATAAATTGACATACGAATAGGTAGCAATCACATAAACTTATATAATAAATCTTCGTAACATAATAATAAATAAATATTAATAACAAGTAACATAAAACTTTGAAAGAAATCAAACATTACTTTTATCAAAGTGTCTGCCTTTACTTTTTATTACTGCACGGCAAACTCTAGTCATCCTGTTTTTGAGTTTGCATAAGTGATATAAATCATTTCTTCTACATCGCATAAGCGTATATTGGGCTCTTTGTTGGTTCGCTCTGACCTAAGCAGCCAAGGGGCCTGACTTACTCAGTAACGAGTAACTCACATAGCGTAAAATCCCTGGTCCTGGCTGCTTAAGTTCAGTGTTGAAGCCTTTCCATTAACTACAAGGTCTTACAGCCCCTAGTGAAAGTTGTGTGTATATGTGTGTATGCATCGATGTATGAATAATCTAAGTAAGGCATGATCGTGTAAAGATCCAGCCAGTCAAGGCAAGATCATGTAGAGATCCATCCAGTCAAGGCAACATAGTGTAGAGATCCAACCAGTCAAGGCAACATCATGTAGAGATTCAACCAGTCAAGGCAACGTCATGTAGAGATCCAACCAGTTGAGGCAAGATCTTGTAGAGATGCATAAATTGAATTATGAATTAAATATTCAGTATCCATCATTATTCTCCAAACACAGCTGTAATCACCGGCGAATGTTTTGCTGCATATTTGTAAGTATTTTAGGAGTTACCGCTCCACAAGTTCTAATTCTATCAATCATATCCAATGGTTTTGTTGGAGGTTCATAAAAACAACATTTTCACATATCTCCACAAAAAGAAATTAAGGGGGCTCAAGTTCGGAGACCTAGGAGGCCACGCAATTGGTTCAGCTCGCCCTATCCATCGATCTAGAAATTCCTGATTTACGAACACTCGTACGATATGAGCATAGTGAGTAGGAGCACCATCTTGTTGAAATCATAAATTCAATCTAAATAAAAGCGAAATATTCTCAAGGTATTATGGCGAATTATTCTGGTGAAGTACAAAATACATTGGACCATTAATAGTTCGTTCAAGAAAGTGAGGCCCAATCACTTGACCATTACATATGCCAACCCATACATGTAAGTTCCAACGATGTTAATTGAGCACCTCACGAAAGCAATGCGGATTTACTAGAGACAAATAATGGCTGCTATGCCTATTCAGACTTCCATGACTATTGAATGTAGCTTCATCGCTGAAATAAACATTCCAAAGAAACAAAAGAAATCGGGATTTTCATTTAACATGTCAAGAGCCCACCTACAAAATTGTATCCTGAGTACATGATCTTCTGAGCTTAATTGCTGTACTAGATGAATATGATAAAGATAGTATCGTACAGATCTTAATAATCTATATCTGTAGTTTTTGGGATTCTTATTTGCCTTTCAATCTGATGCATACTAATATGTGGATTTAAATGTACCAACAATAAAATTGGAAGTAACCTTGGATCGTTTTTATTTTGGAGTGTATTCCTTCGCCTTAACGATGCAGTGAATTATTCCATAATCTTCTTTCGATGTTTATCACTTCTTCATAGAAAGGATGGCGTTAGTTAGGATATCTTTCGGCATAGGTCAGAACAGTAAACCTGTAAATCCTATTTCATTCACCTATCATCATGAGAATGTCAACTACTTCATTGGGAGTATAGTTAGCCATTCTGCATACATACATACAGAAGCATTTTATAAGGTAAATTGATCATCGGTAATTCTGTGTCAATAATAATCAATAAAACATACAATTTTCTAAACTATTCTCGAGTGAAAAATTTTTTAATCGTTGAAAAAAAAGTCCTTTACTCTTCTCGAACGTAACTTCTCAAGTTATAGATAATATAAGAAAGTCCCGCGTGACGACTACATCTGATGATTTCCTTCTCCACTGCAATCTTTAACTTAGAGAATGGAAACCACGGCTTTTATGCTATGTGAATTATAGCTTCAATTGTTACTGAGGCAAGCAGTCAGTTATGAATCAGGCCCCTACTTGACTACTTATGTTAGAGTGAACCAACAAACAGCCCAACACACGCTTGGGTGATGTAGAAGAAATGACCTTGAAAAATTTCCTATACACCCCACATAATAGATTATATTAAGGTAGAATTTCCCGCCATAACCGAATCCAGGATCAAAAATAGTGGTTCCCATTTAAAAAATAAAGTTGACTTTGAAATGTCCTTGAAAATAGAGTTTAAGGTCTAGTTTGATGTCACTCTATAGCCAATTGTGCCATTTATATAGACACGAATAAGTCATGTTGTTTAAAATAGACTACATACGTCAATATATATTGATGAATAAAAATAGAACATGCACCCAATTTTTCTCAAAAATCGATGAACTTTTACTCATTTCAAGATATATCGGAAAAATTATACAAAAGATTAATTCGACCTAAGATCAATAATGCTATTATACTATTACACTGTTATACAACACTAAACTTACATATTCAATAGTAGTGATTATGGCTCCAATGTTATATTAGTATGAGTAATACATTTAACATCGTGTACTTTTTGCTGCTACTGTGAAAACACCCGTGAATATTCTTCTAATTTAACGGGTTTAATATTTTGATAAATAATTTCCTTTGTTCGCATACGTTTTAATTTAAAATATACAAAAGATAAATATGTAGTCTCTATTTTATTTTTATTCATTCTCTTTTTCTTTCTACCAAATTTTAACACAACGATATTGATTGTAGTATCGGAGATGGTTATAAAATTAACAATTTGTACCAATAATTTCAAAACATAACGTATTATGTTCTTAAACCAATTTACTAACATATTTCTATTTTTGCAGTTTATTATCCATGTTAATTATTCATAAATTGAATTTATTGCTAAAATAGAAATCATACACTCTTTGATATATAATAATAATATTTCAAAGTATAGGAAAATTCAAAATTTCGCGTTCTATTTTTGCATCAACAAATCACAACGCTTGGATGTCAGCGACTCATCTTTTTTTAAAGATAAAATAGGAATAAAATATGTAAAAAGTATAAAAATAAAAAATAAAAATAAATATAAGGCAAGGATAAGGATAGGATAGAACCGTCAGCTGCGCCTAACAATTTAATTTTGTTTCTTTTTTAACGTATTGGTTCATGGTATCAAACTTTCCATAGGATTTCTCCATATTAACAGATATATTATTTTAATTTAACTGTTTTTTCCATTGTTCATCTGAAACCATTTGGAGAGTTTGTTTACATTTATGGGACGTCGTGGCAACGCCACAGTTCAGGTGGGCCTGAGGCTTAGCGCAGTCTCAGGGTTTCGATGTCGCCAGAACTGCGATTTCTCGCCTAAACTGGCGTGGATCACTTGTCAAGAAATATGCTTAACCGAGGGGGATAGTGCCACAGAGCCTATACTTCTGCCTTTAGATTCCTATCGAAAGTCGTAATCCTTGGGCGAGAAGCACCACGGGTCCTATCAATAGTAGTACCCGGGTTTTCCTAACAAAATTAATTCCTGGAGCCTATCAAAAGTAGTCTCCAGATAATAAAAAAAGAAAAAGGCAAGCACGAGCTATTTCTTAACTAGAAGAAAGAAAGATTAACAAAACAGGAAATAAAAATTGTTTCGTTTGCTTACTGTTTTTTATTGAATAAAACGCCTTTTTCGGCCTGCGCGTCCTTATTTTAAATTGGTTGATTTTCCCTTGTTTTCTCGTTCCGCTTAGCTGTTTGACTTCCTGCTCCTTACTGATAGCATTGCGTGATTTTTCTTCAATTCCTTGATTTTTCCTTGACACTGCCTGTATTTCCTCAACTGCTTGATTTTTTTCCATTTCACTTAACTTTTTTTCTCCACTCACTGCCTCTCGAGGCTCGTACAGCTCTTTTTATACACTGGGGATGGCTGGGTGGTAAGTCCCTCTCTCAGCGTCTTGATTTCGGGAGGAGTGGAGCAAGCGATGATGCGTTCTTTGGCTCGTTTGTCTCTCCTCATTTTCCTCGCTGGGTTTTCGGGCCCTAATTGGAGCGGGGGCGTGGAGAAAATCGGAGGAGCGGACGCAAAGGTTCAGGCCTTGGGTCGCGAGATGGCTCCTTCAGTACCGTTCTCAACCAAGATTTATCCAATAAGCGGGTTTACAATAACTTAAAATTTATTTTTTTTGTATAAACTCGATAACTTACAAGTTACTTAGTACTAGGGACAATATCATAGGGTTTTTCGCAATTACAGTTGATTATAATTTGTATTGAAAATAAGTAATAAAGTATAATCTTATTATTTCGCACGCTGTATTGTACAGATTTATGGGTGGTTTATTAAATTATTCTCTAATCATGCAATTTTATTTATTTTAAGTTTTAATCGGCGAATTAATGCAAAAAAATTATATAATTTAATAAGGCGATTATTTCCTAATTTCTTACGATAAAATTTCATGTAATAACATAGTGCGCATATATAATTCCTTTTTTTTTATTTTCTCTGTTTTTCTTATT